CACGAACACACAAAATGCTACATAGGCCTATTTCTCTTTTTTTTTTTTTGGTACCGGGGATTGAACTCAGGACCTTGCACTTTTGAGGCAGGCAGAATGCCACTGAGCTAAATCCCTGGCCCAGGCCTACTTTCCTTTACTCTTATTAAACTGGGTTAGATATCATACTCTAGGATAGGACAAAGCCTGGGTAGGAACTTCTCTGGGTAAACAGAGAAAAGGCCAAAGATAAAAGTTTTACTGGAATTTTTAAGCCTGAAAGTTTTCCAGTTTTGATTTTTTTACAAAAATATTTTCTAATGTCTTGGTTAAAAGCATGCATTGAGCTTCCCACTTACAAGTAGAATGCTGCACTATCTAAGCATATTACTTCACCTTGCCAAGTTTTAGCTCCTCATCTTTGGGAGGCAATGGTGGGTTCAGGAAAGGTGGGAGGTGACATGGAAGCTGAAGCCAATATTCAGGGGTTCAGGTGAGGGATTTTGAGGTGTGTGAGCTTATAAATGAAAAGCAATGTACAGGTGCCAGTCAAACCTGACTGGGACTAGGGAGAAGGCTGGGGCTCAGGGAATGGGATGGATGGCAGAAGCACGGGACAGGTAAGATTAAGATGGAATGATGCCTACGAAATGATGCTGTGGAGAACAGTCATAGTGGGGGCTGAGATGCTCAACATGGGTGTTGGGCATGTTAGCAGGAAGGAGTCTAAACTGGGATTGAGAAATGAGACTTGAGTTCTCGTGGAGACGGAACAGAAGTGCCCAAGGGTCCACAGTGCAGGAGGTTAAAGTAGGGCAATCTCAGGGTGAGCCTGGTGTTGGGAATGGGGAGGAACAAGCATGGAAACAGGCACTCCTGGCCCAGGGAGCAAGGCTACTCAGGCATGCCCTGGGACAGGAGGCCTCCGTTGCTCCTGCTGGGGTTGATCCACATCCAGGGAGTGGGGGGCATTTATGTCCCCATGTGACGCCCACTAGTCTTTTTTTTGTTGTTGTTGTTGTTCTTTTATTGGTACATTTTAGGTATACAGTTCGTTTACATTTATCATTGGGTGTTTGTACCTGTACACGATATATCTTGGTTCTTATTTTTTTCCCCATTACCTGTGCACCCTTCACCCCCTCCGCCCTTCCCTAT